ACAGATTGGCGACAGACAGGGGGAAGGAGCTACTTATGGAAATTTAGGGAATGCCTATTATACATTAGGAGAAATTCCCAAGGCGATAAAATATCACAAAAAGAGCCTAGCCATTGCTGAAGAGATTGGTGACAAACAAGGAGAAGGATTAGGCTATGGAAATTTAGGGATTGCCTATCATTCATTAGGAGAGATTCACAAGGCGATTGAATATCACGAAATGAGCCTAAGCATTGCTAAAGAGATTGGTGACAAACAGGGAGAAGGAGTCGCTTATGGAAATTTAGGGATCGCCTATAAATCATTTGGAGAATATCACAAAACGATTGATTATCACGAAAAAAGACTAAGCATTGCTAAAGAGATTGGYGACAAACAAGGAGAAGGAGTTACTTATGGAAATTTAGGGATTGCCTATTCTTCATTAGGAGAATATCAAAAGGCGATTGAATGTCATGAGAAGAGACTGAGCATAGCTAAAGAGATTGGTGACAGACAAGGACAAGCAGCGTACCATCATAACATAGGTAAGTACTATATGCTCGATATGTATTCTCAAAAATTTTTAAAGCCTGAAAGTTGATATATTGATACATTATTAGTACATTATTATCACTATCCGAGGCGATAAATTGAGTATGTTTATTTTTATGAATATCATGTGATGCAAACATGCGTTTAAATATATAATTATTTTAGTATGAAATATTACATACTAAAGTCAGAAGTATTACTGACTAAAATTAAATAGTATACTCTATATGCAGCAACAACTTATCATTAATCTCTGATAYAACAATGATTGTTGTTATTTGACGCGTTTGAATTATCATTGCGGTATCAAAACTACTTCTGACTAATGTTAAAATTAGTAGGTCTAATTCTAAAGTAATCGTCTTGCTATTTAAGGTATTGCATACCAGGAAGAATCGAGCATTACAGATCTCAGCATATCAAAAGAACACCTGGAGAAGAGCTTACAATGCTACGAGAAATTGTTTGATGATCTAAAAGACAAAGACCAATTCAAGGTTTCAATCGTCGATACATTTATCACAACCTACAAGATGCTCAGCAAAGTCTACATTAAAACCAGAGAGGTGGAAGGAGCGCTCATGGTATGTGAACGTGGGCGAGCACGTGCTTTGGGAGATCTCTTGTTCTTTAAATACAACACGAATGAGAAAGCAGAATCAAAAGCACTGGAAYTTGCTGATGTAAAAACACTTTCTTCATATAGAGMAGGCTGCATTCTTTTTTACAATCTTGATGCTAACAAGGTAACATATGATTGCTGGATCATATCATCCCAAAGTCCATCAACCTTCTATTATGATGAAATGGCCAACATCGAAGCTTTGGCAACAATGGTGTCGAGTCTGTCTGAAGATGACAAAACAAGCATGRAGAYGGGATATTTTCAATATCTCGTTGACAACAGTTTTCGCCAGCTGCGTCTTGGAGAAGGAATGAAATGCGATGACCAATCGATAAACTTACYAGACCATGAAAACAGTGAGTCTGCAGGCGTTACAAAGTCTTCAAAGCTTAGAGAAACTGCCCTCACAGTTTTTCGACAAGTTGACAGATGGTGCGCTTCCACGGACGATGAAGATGATATCGATCCTCTCGACGTGCTTTCCCATAGACTTCTCGTTTCTCCGGTCATTAACCAGCTGACCCACGACGAGGTGATCATCATCCCTGACGGTCCTCTGTTCATGGTGCCTTTTGCTGCTCTTCAAAATCCAGTGACCGGCAAGTATTTTTCGGAAACTAAGCGCATTCGCCTGGCTCCTTCCCTRACRACTCTGAAAATTCTACAAGAATCCTCAGACGATAATTATGCTAAGGTAGGCTTTCTTTCACGTTTATGCGTGAATGTGTACATTAAGAGTATTAATCTATGCCAATACTATTGATACTTCTATAAGAATCATCACAAAACTGGTTTCATCCATGCTCATTGATTAAGTACATTGCAACTATGGAGTTATGGATGTACGGTGGGAGAAACTTAAAAAAGCATATTCAGTGGTTGAAACAAGTGTYAACTCTATCTTTTTCGTTTCATTGTTTTCTCCATGCACATTTTGGTAATCGACTGTGTAATTTCGCAGTATGATGAGYGTATTTCGATTGTGAGTCTTTTTCTAATATGGGTATAAAACCCGAATGTTAGGAACTACGTTTTCAATAATTGAACGTGGATAAGACCAGTTCTTTGTTAGGATGACTCGCACGTACACCGAATATCTAAAACCTATTCGTTTAATTAATGATTTCTGATTTCTTTAGAAAATATTGCAAAGAGCAGAYTTTGCATTACAGTGGAGAAAATACCGCCATAACACTAGTGCAAATGATGGCTTGTTCAATTATTATTATTAATTTTTTCTTTTTTGGCATCATTATCTTCAAGTTTACATTGCATTTCCTAAGTTACCAGATCCCCCAAAAATATCAACTATAATGATCGAATGATCGTTGATTTAAGTCTCATTCGTTCAAGTCAGGGGTTCTGATCAGTGGAAACCCTACATGTGATTTATAATGATCGCTGATTTAAAGTTTCATTCATTCAAGTCAGGGGCGCTGATCATTGGAAACCCTACGGGTGATTTACCCGGTGCTGAGAAAGAAGCTGTCGAGCTTGGCAGCCTCCTCGGTGTTCAGCCATTGATAGGAAAACAAGCAACAAAAGAAGTAATTTTGGAAAAACTAAAGCAAGGTGTGTCCGTCATCCACTTTGCTGCACACGGATGCAAGGAAAATGGACAGATCCTACTGGCTCCTTCTATTTCTCCGACGAATTCGTGTCCAGAAGAGAAGTACAGCATCTTCACTATGAAGGAAGCACAGGAGAGCGGAATTCGTGCTCAACTGGTTGTGCTRAGCTGTTGTCACASCGGTAAAGGTGACATCAGGTCTGAGGGAGTGGTTGGAATTGCTCGCGCCTTTCTTGCGGCGGGAGCTCRTGCTGTTGTAGCATCACTTTGGGCCATTRATGACACAGCAACAAGGCTCTTTATGCTGAAATTCTATTCGCATCTCAAGAATGGAGAGAGTGCCAGTAAGAGTCTGCAGCAGGCAATGAAGGAGATGAGAGAAATAGAGGAATACAAGGGACCAAAGTACTGGGCGGCCTTCTTTTTAATTGGAGACGATGTCACCATCACAGGATAATCAAACATCAACGCTGGATTGTTGATCGAACATTTTTAGAACATTAATTAGGTTAGTTTTCTAGTTTTCATAAAGTGCAAATACTAAAAGCCGTGAAAAAGTATTAACCAAATAATACTAAATAGCGCAACTTTAGATTAGACAAGAGAATTTGGCAGAATTCTGTGTGATTTAGCACTATTTCATTACACAGAGCGAAAATCACTTAACATTACCCATGAAGCAATCAATATAATTTTTTACCACACTCGTGTAAATTCTCGCACGCTGATTGGCTGATTAGAGTGAGTCAATACGAGGACATTCACACTGTGCTGACACCATCACGTCTTGCGTGCGCTCATTTGAAAGAAGAGAATGATTTTCGCTAATTTTTAGACTAAAAATGTGGTAAAAAACAAATTGCACACGGTTTTTCATTGTATGTCCTCTTATTGACACACTCTTGACGTGTCTCGCTGCGCTCATGATGGGTCCACTTGAGTTTTGAACATTTGATGACGTCAAGAGTGTGTCAATATTAAGAGGACGTACAACTTAAAATCGTGTGCAATTTGTTAAATATTTGTTGACGTTCAGAATTTTTGCAAATGACTGTATGAGTCGAGTTAACAAATAGCGTAAGCCAGCGTTAAAAGACAACTGAMCCCTCATTTTTGCCGTTTTTATAGTAAAACTACAATGTATGTAGATCAGAAAAATCCAACTTTGATATCATGTATAGCTCCCCTGTAGCCGAAAAAAAATTAAACCTCAAAAAATTACTATTGAATAGCACTATAAATCGAGGGTGAGTRCACGCCACTCACTGTATGATAACTTCTTGCTTATGCGTAATTCATTGCGTAACAGTACAAAAGGGCGCGAAGACAATAATCTAGCAATATGAAGAAAATAGCCTTAGTTTAACTTTACATATTTTACTTCGTCATATTTTCCTAGTACTTTTATGAAAGTGCAAATGTTTAGTGAAATAAACGTTGTGAAATTCAATTCCATCAAGATTATCAGTTATCTATCGCCTATTTCCAACTCCATGGTGTTTAGCACTGTACAAATGAGAATACAAGTACACACTATATATACAATTAGATCGATCGATATCTTACAATATCGACATTAACAAGACTACTTTTTTAAACAAAGATAACTGATTGTRCGAATAGCAATAGCTAGTAAAACAAAGAAAGAATCCAGCAAAAATTCCTTGCTATTTTAATCTAGCTATACTTATATCATTTCAAATGTACGATATCGCGACTCAGTAAAACAAGAAATCTATTATTGTACGTGTCATTACAATTATCATTAAGATATCATTGTCCTTGTCATTATAGGYAATTTCCTAACAAAACTGTGCACAATTTTACAGGTTTACTATTTATTACCGAACTTAATTTTGCATCAATTTCYGAGTCTGTATTTTTCTCGTATTTAGGAAGACCGCTCTGTAGAATTGTACGAAAATCGCTACAAAGGTGATAAGGTGATCGTGTTCACACTGCGAGAGACTTCTACTACAAGATATCCTTTCTTAATACTTACATCACTCAATGAAATTACAAGCGCCTAGAGAGGATAGACTGCATGTCTAATATCGCTTTTATTCTAAATGTCCATAGATATGTCAGTAAAACAGACTTCAAGATGACTGTTATCTGAATCATTGACAATTAGTTGAGCCTCTCTAATCCACGAACAGCTCTGACTTCATYCGAATTCTTCGTATCATCGTATCATCTGGGGGAATCTCAACACCGTCAAGTTTCATGTTTAATTTTCTCATCGAATCGTTTCTTGAATAATTAATTATTAGCCATACTTGAGCTACACTTTAAGAAATTCCTTGAAAGTACTAGGTTAGGAATAGAGCTGTTTCTAAAGTTGTGATTATAAATGATCAATAGCTYTTGTCATTTGTTACTCCTTTCCAACGTAACCCGACTGCACGCTCTATGAGCGTCTAGTTGAAGATCGTGACTAAAAGTTTAACAAGCGATTTCAGCATCACATTTTTCTCAAAGAAAATGCTAATCAAGGTGTTTCTGTAATAATCAATTATCAACTGTGTTTCAACTTTGAGAAACACTTTCATGTACCAGCAAAATATCAAGTTGTTTATAAGGGATGAATAAGTGCGGACAGCTGACGGCCAGATCGAAGTAACTTTTTACACCTCTTATCCCTGGTCAGTTGACAGCAGATACTAAGTACAAACAGTCCACTAGTGATGGATGTCAAACCACAACATTTCAAGGAAATGACCACAAATCCAAAGCTGAAAGACGCCTTGAATACTGGATCAAAGGACTTTGCAGGTATTGCAGTGAACTCAACACTAAGATTGCTGTAGCACACAAACATACAAACTGTGTCAGAGTGTTCANAAAAACTTGGACAGTGTAAATTTTATATTGTCTTATCTTCAATCTCAATGTTGTTTGTAATTTAATGTGTTTAATGCCTTTTCTATGTTACAGAATGGTACAAAAACTTGGATTATGTGGGGACTAAACCCAAAGGACGCAACTGATGCAAACACGTTTGCCAAGCACACTGAAAAAGGTTACACATCACTTCCTTACAACATGTTCACTGGGAAACAATTCTCTAACAACAAACCCCAGGGTAGTACTACAGCACAACCAAGTACTACAGCACAACCAAGTACTACAGCACAACCAAAGACCACCAGTGGTTCTCAAGCTACTTCAGTCAAAATCATGCTTGCATTTGCTGCCATTCTCCTTGTTCAGCTTGGCAGTGTGTTGATGCTGCACTAAAGGGATTTTGTCACAACCTTGAATCTCTTTCTGATAGGGTGATTATATGGAAAAACTTTTTTATCTCAGCTAAAGCATTATCAAACAATTTTTGTTAACAAAATGTTAAAATATATTCTAAATGAGTGGGGATGCATGTATAAATGCTCTCCAAACATACAAGGTTAGGCCTAAACTTCTTCCTCCATAACTAGGTGTATTGTAGACACAATGATCTTAGCTTGATCTGACATCAATGTAGAAAAGTAGAGTGTATTGATGATACACATGATGCAAGACCTGAGACAATGCCAAGACATAAAATTGAAACATAAACAAGAATTCCATAATTGCTTTAGATTTTTGAGATTGCTAAAACATTTGCTGAGACAAAGAAGTCTCCATAATAAACTCAAAGTCATAAGGAGATTTAGGAGTCGCAGATGTACACAATGCACTGAAAATATACTACTATTTGTTCCGCTCTACCCCTTGATTATTTTATAGTATTTTTTGTTATAATTGATTCATAATGATCTTATATATTCAAAGTTTATATCAATTTATGCACACTTTGCACAGATGCATTTCATATATCCCCAGCTGACAGGTGCAANCTTTGCAACGTAACCCGACTGCACGCTCTATGAGCGTCTAGTTGAAGATCGTGACTAAAAGTTTAACAAGCGATTTCAGCATCACATTTTTCTCAAAGAAAATGCTAATCAAGGTGTTTCTGTAATAATCAATTATCAACTGTGTTTCAACTTTGAGAAACACTTTCATGTACCAGCAAAATATCAAGTTGTTTATAAGGGATGAATAAGTGCGGACAGCTGAAGGCCAGATCGAAGTAACTTTTTACACCTCTTATCCCTGGTCAGTTGACAGCAAATGCTCAGTACAAACAGTCCACTAGTGATGCATGTCAAACCACAACACATCAAGGAAGTGACCACAAAGTCAAAGCTGAAAGACGCCTTGAATACTGGATCACAGGAATTTAAAGGTATTGCAGTGAACAAAATCAACACTAAGATTGCTGTAGCACACAAACATACAAACTGTGTCAGAGTGTTCAAAAGAACAGAATTATTAATAACGCAAAATAATTTCTCCAAAATGGAAAATGCTTTCTTGCATACATGATATCACCCAGACACCAATGTCAGATTGCATGACAAGAAGTCATTACAATTGCGTGACTAGTTCCCGGAAAWGATTTTCAACATCACGTGTTCTTCCAAGAAACCGCTAATCGAGTCGTTTCTTAATATCGAGAGAAGATTTTTATTAATTGAAACACAAAATGGAGTCATTTCTCGAGGATCTAAAGCTTCAAGTCCAGTGTTCTCTGTGTAATGAGACAATGGTTGAACCCAAGTTATTACAATGTTTTCATACATTCTGTAAGACTTGTATCAAGACCAATGCACAACTTGATGGTCAAGTCAGCATCTTCAAGTGTCCTCAGTGTGACTCATCAACCGAGCTCAAAGAACTCAATGACGTGGAAGACTTAGAGATCAGTCCCATACACTCAAGAATCGTTCAAGTCTTGTCATTTGTTGAGAACCAGAAGGTTTGCTCGGTTTCTGCCAGCCAWAGCGATGCATTGTGGCAATGTCTCGACTGTGATCGCTCGTTGTGTGACGAATGTCTGCGATATCATACTCAATTCACTAAAGATCACAAAGTTGTTGCATTGTCTGAGATGACAAAGGAAGACATTAAGCTTATGCTGAAAAAGGAAARTCCTTGCAAAACACACGCCAACCAAGATGTTGAATGGCACTGTCGAGACTGCGACGAGCTGATCTGTGTGGTTTGCTTGAGAGATCACCATCACAATGACCACAAGATAACATCACTACAGGAGTTCATCACTGCCAAGAAAGATGTTCTGTCTAAGAATCTCAAAGAAATTGAGAAAATGAATACTGACGAGAAAGAAAAAAGACAACAAGAACAAATTGCACTCGACATAAAACGCAACGGAGAAAAAGCTCAAGAACAAGTTAACATATTAGCAAATCAACTGATGAAAACATTAATTGATCACAAGCAAAAACTTTTGATTGAAATACAGAAGAGCAAAACAAAGGCAGACAGGAATTTACGCATAATACGTCACACTCCAGCAGCACAAGAGTACATCAAAAACTTCTTACAAAATGGAACAGCAAGTGAAATCATAGACCTCCAACCAGACTCTGAACTCTCAAAGACATTCCCCTACAACACATTTGAAAAACCCTTTTGTGGGGTAAAGTTTCAACCTAATGAAGAACTCTGTGAACAAGTGAGTACTGGTTTGGGAGTCTTACGGCCATTCAAGGAAGCGGACACAAACAAGAGCTCATTAAATATAATTCATTCAAAAGAGCGCTGTAGAGCCATGAAGACGTCAACTTTGATAGTGACTCTTAGAGCTTTGGGTGGGGAACGTTGTGACACGTCACTCGATGACGTAGCAGTGCTCATCACCCCTGAAGATGACGTCAAAATAGGGAAGAAACAAGAGAATGTCTACGGCCAGATGGAAGTAACCTTTACTCCACGTGTTCCTGGTCAGTTAACAGCAGAGGTTCAAGTACATGGAAATCCTGTATCCAACAGTCCATTAGTGATGGATGTCAAACCACAACACATCGAGGAAATGTCCACAAAGTCAAAGCTGAAAAATGCCTTGAATACTGGATCAAAGGAATTTTCAGGTATTGCAGTGAATAAACCCAACACTAAGATTGCTGTAGCAGACTGGGATGAACACTGTGTCAGAGTGTTCAAAATGGATGGGGATTTGTTACTGTCATATGGTAGTAAAGGCAGTGGAGAAGGACAGTTAAAGAATCCATGTGGTTTAGCATTTGTCGATGAAACAGATTTAGTCATAGCTGATTCTGGAAATGATAGAATATGCATATTGAACACAGCCTCCGGTAGTCTTGTAAAAACCTTTGGTTGTCAAGGCAACATGGATGGACAGTTCAACGGCCCACGTGGAGTACATGTTGCTGATGGTAATTATAACATCATTGTATGTGATTGTGGCAATAGTCGTGTCCAAGTATTTACAAAGAACGGTGACCATCAATATCAGTTTGCATTACCAAGACAAGTACGGCCATATGATGTAGTTACACACAATGGACTGTTCTACGCCAGTGCTGATTTTTCAGTGGTACACGTGATTGAGATGAAAGACAACCAGCCACCAACTACAGTAAACAATATTGGTGGGGAGGACTACACATATGGTCGGTTAAGGAACACTGCTGGTCTAGCTTTTGACAATGACTGCAATGTTATGGTTTGTGATTATAAATTGAAAAAAGTTTACAAGTTTACATTGGATGGTCGTTATGTAGGAAAAACAAAAGAACTAGACTACCATCCTCGCTTCATAACAGTGCTGAATGATGGACAGATTATTTGCAGTGCATTCAATGAAAGGGGATTAAATTTTTTTAAATAGCTTTTAAGATGATATATTTTGGATCTTTTCTTTTTAACCATACTAATTAAATCTTGGTGACTGTTGGGGACTGTAAATTTGTGCTGTATCTCTGTATAAATGCCATTATAACTGTTATCATTAGTTTGAATGGCACTGTAATAACAGCAATTATCACTGTAATTATAATCATAAGAATATGATAAGTATCAATATCGGTATTACTGGTGTATTATTATTGATGTTCACACAGTAAGTTTATTATAGCATTAAACTAATCAATTTATTTTTGAAACAGTAAATTGGAATCTAATTAATACAATTCATATCAAATGTTGAAATCGTTTTTTCAACATGACAAAAAATGTGGCCATAGCCTGCCTCGTCATTTTCTGATGTTACACCGCTATTCTTCGTTTTCATGTGACGTCATCGAAAAACTGTATGCTGCCTATTATCAGCATTGAAAGTAGATGACGCTTAGAACTTATAAAGGTGAACTTTGTGACCCTCCGTCACTGGATGACGTTACAGTACACATCACTCCTGAAGATGACGTTGCCGTGGGGGAAAAACATGCGACAACTGATGGCCAGATCGTGGTAACCTTTAGTCCCCGTGTTCCTGGTCAGTTGACAGCAGAGGTTCAAGTACATGGAAATCCAGTATCCAACAGTCCACTAGTGATGGATGTTAAACCACAAGAAATTAAGGAAAAGATTGGATATTCAAGACTGAAAGACGCATTAAATACTGGATCAAAGTAATAGAATACATCGAACACCAAGATTGCTATAGCAGACTGGCAAGTAAGTTGTGTCAGAGTGTTAAACATGGATGGGGAAGTCGTTGCTGTCATATGGTAGTAAAGGCAGTGGACGACAACAGTTAAAGAGTCCATGTGGTTTAGCATTTCTAAATGAAGCAGATCTAGTCATAGCTGATTGCTATAATCATAGAATATGCATATTGAACACAACCTCGGGTCAGCTTATTAGAAGCTTTGGTTGTTATGGCAACATGAATGGACAGCTTATTTAACCCCATGGGTGTATACGTCGGTAATGATTCTAACATCATTGTATGTGATCATGACAATCATCGCGTCCAAGTGTTCACAAAGAATGGTGACTATCTGTATCGGTTTACAATACCAGGAGAAGACAAACCATATGATGTAGTTAAACACAATGGACTGTTCTACGTCAGTGCTGGATCAGTGGTACACGTGATTGAGATGAAAGACAACCAGTCACAAACTACAGTGAACACTATTGGTGGGGAGGACTATGTTATAGACCGTAACGACAAGACGCCATGTTGGCACAAACACACTTTATTGGACCCAGGCCCTGCCGTGACACAGGAAACCCATACAATACATGACATCTCCCCTTTTTACAAAAGTGTGAAATATACTCTATGAAT